CCAGTGGAGACTGTTTCCCTGGTAATGTGGACAAATACGAGTGTGGTCTTTGTGTGCCTCAAGTGTATGCAGGATAATCAGAAGCAGGATTCCCTGCATTGGTAGTACGTATCTCCTACAAATCCAAGCGTCCTTGGTTCATTTCATTAGTGTCAACACTGCTGAGCACCTCAGCGGTCTCTGATGCTAGCTGGGGAGTTTAGTTGTGTGTATATTGACTATACAAATGCATTAGGACCGTAAGTCATTTGCACAAGGAATATTCTGTGTATATGAAGTAATAAACTACTTCGTGTCTACAGTTCACATCCATATGTTCCTGAGGAGCAGCGACATTGAAAGAGACTAGCAAGCAGTCACTGGACTCTCCAGTTTCATTGTGTCCTGCCTGGTTTTCAGCTGTTAAAGGTAACAGCCTTTTGAGGAATCATGGAATCACCTGTGTTAGAAAAGACCTTTAATATCAAGTCCAACCTTCACTCCAGCACTTCCAAGGCCACCACTAACCCATGGCACTAAGGGCCAAACCTCTACTTTTTCATAAGCATTGTCACATACCTCTTCTCCTTTGCTTTGCAAGTTATAAATCCTTGGTTTCCTCCCATGTTTTTTACCAAGCCATGGATTTTTGCCATGTAGAACCAGTAAATAGTAACATCATTTAAATTCTATGTCAACAGCAGTTTCTCATCCAAATTAAGCGGGACTTACTCTTCCAGTAAGTACAGGTCAGAGAATGGGATTCAGCTATACCCTTGTGGTTGAAAACCTCCCAGTTTGTGTTTCTAGGTAAAGGGGGCTTCTCTTATTTCCCCTTCCACACATTTCTTCTGGGGATCAACTTACTGTCTGCAAAATGTGGCAGCCAGCCAGTCTATGTCAGCCTGCTGCACTTTGCCAGCTTCCCCCAGCAGTCTGGGAGGGATCACCCTTCTGATCTCTGGACTCTCAGCTGTGGCAAATAGTGCTTTTATCAGCACTGAGCATCTGTACAGCTAAAGTTTGTTTCAGGAGATAAATGAGCACAAATAGGGAGACATGCACAACATCCATCAGAATACAAGTATTCCCACTTTTCTAAAGCAGAAATTATATGAAATTTTAATAACAGACATGTTACACAGCCTAAATATAGTTTGGGCTTTTTTCCCCTGAAGAAGTTCTAAGCCTCTGATTTTATTCTTTCTTAACCATCTCCCTTCATCCCTGCAGCCCCTCAGCAGGGTTTTGAAAGCAGAAACAGCAGTGATGCTAAAGACCTTTCGTTTCTGGCATGAAATGTTGTGGAGGCTTGGTTGAGTTATAGGTTTTTGAAAATTGCCATTAACATTTTGTTCCTTGTGCTCTTCAGGTAAAATTTGCTCATATGCCAAAGAAACAGCCGCAAATGAACTTTCTCTGAGAACCTCCAGGCACTCAGTGCCACCACAGCAGCAACAGCCTTGTGCTGGGAGGGCAGAGTTGGGCAGCAGGCAGCAAGCAAGGCCATGCCCTTCGAATTCAAATGGTTGCAGAAACACAACCTGCAATCTGAAAGAAAAGATTCCTCTGCCAGCCATTGCAGTAGTTAATCTGCAAGTTTAAAAGGGTAAACTGTAAACTCTGAAAGTTCAGCATTCAAATTCTGGCAGTAATGTATTAGGGAGCCTGAAGGTCTTAGTGTACTGACATTCCATACAAGCAAGTCCCCACTTCTGCCTCACAACTGCCTCTGATTCACATCAGTCCAAGCACTAGAAAGACAGGACATTTCCAGACTTCAATTTGCTGTGCAGTTGTAACTTGGACATTGGGCCTCTGATCATATACTTTTTATCCCAGGACCAGTTTCCTCACTCATTGTATGCAATGAAGAGTGATGGTTACAGTCTCAGAGCTAGTATTTCCCGGCATCTGATTTAGCAATCCAGATTACTCACAACACTTAAGCAATTTAATCTGTCAAATTCATGGGATTCAGGAAATCCTGAAGTGAACCCAGGTTGCTCTTTACCTTTGAGCACCTCACTGTGCCAGTTTATTTTAGTTACTTGCTGCTTCTGACATCTCAATTTGGCTTATGAACTCTGGAGTACAACAGTGTAAAGGTGATACATCCAGTACACAAAAGGTCCAAGAGAAATGGGATTAGCAAGAAAATTCCATGAAGATGACAAGCTACTTCTGAAGGCTCTCAACAGCTTTTCAGATGTTAGATTGATTTCTTCCCTTATGCTAGGAGTTGCAGTAGTAGTGGTGGTGACTTTGCCAGTACAATGCAAAGCACTATTAAAGTTGAAAGAAGTAGCCCCACTGATTAGAGTGCCAGGTTCATCAATTGCAAAGACACATGTTGCATGTCTTAACTGCACTGAAGGAGGAAACAAGTATGTACATGTGAAAAATTTGACGTGTGAGGAAGATGGTGATTCTGAATAGTCCATAAGTGAAGAGCCATAGAGTAACAGTTATGCTTTGTCCTCCCTCATCCTGATCCAGTCCAGGGGGATTGGAATTGAAGAGTTAATTTGGGAAGCTTTGCTCTCACAGCCTCTCCCAAACTGACATAGTTTAGTGATGGGCTTGGCAGTCCTGAGGTAAAGGTTGGACTTGATGATCTTGAAGGTCTTTTCCAACTTAGTTGATTCTGTGATTCTAAATAGCAGCACTGATGTTGAAGTATGTAGTTACAACTTCATGCGTTTCTTCACTGATTTAGGGAAAATGCTCAATTTAGAACATTCACAGTAGTGAAGTTTACCTTGTTTTTCTAATCTGCTTGGTTGCAATTGGATTTGCACCAGTCTCCAGAAAGAGTAGCTGCACAGGATAGCCCATGGTTGGCTGCAGCACAGGAGTACAAATGAGATATACATAATGATAAAAGTCCATTAAGAGGAAACTCTGACCATTACTCAGACATAGCCTTTGGGCACGGAATTGTAAAGCACAACTAGATGAATAAATAACAGAAAATGGTCACCATGTGAATTTTGAGAAGTGTCCAAATGCATTTTAAACTAAAATGAACTGTTCTTTAGTGAGTCCACTAATTTATTCCAGCCATCTGTGTCAGCGTAAACAAGAGCTTGTCTCCTAAACTGCTTCATGTTTTTTTTAGACGTAGCAAGAACCACAAGTTTCAACATGATCATCTTGGAGGAAGAAAAAAAATCATCAAGAAAGAACCCACATATTTTCACACCACAAACATCTTTTGATAACTACTATCGTGCAATTAAAAAAAAAAATATTAAAAAGTAAAACTTGTTTCTGGCATAGCATAATGTTTTCCTATTTAAATTCCACCAAATGTTTCTTTAGGATATTTTAGGGGATGGAAAAATCTGTCTGCTCCCCCCCGCCCCAGTCTCCAGTGTTGATATGTGTAGACAAACCCTGTACTTATTAATAAGCTTGAGAACTGCTGAATTGATGCCCTGGGTTTGCCCTGGTCTGAAAGTTTTTTCTCTATATGAGCCTCAAATTATTTTCAGTCTCTTAATGTGCTTCCCATGCTGGTGGTCCTTAGCTAGGTAGAATAGTCAGGAAATCTGAGTGTTTAAACTAAAAAGTATCCACATTTAGCATGAGTCTTCCCTGGATAAAAGCAGCTACAGACCTCAGATTAAGATGGGATTTGGGAATGTTGAACCTGGGGAGGGGGAGGCTGAAAATAATTTACAGGAAGAGTATGCTGGACTTAGTTTTAGAGATACTGGGCAGCCATAGAGTTACATCAGATCAAATCAGCCTTTCTGGACACAAAACAGAAAATACATCTGGGATGAGAAGAATGAAAACAAGTTTGGTTTTGGAGGATCAGACCATTTGTGCTCAGATCTTGACGACTACATTCTTTGCTTCTTCTATATTCCCTGTGGCAGCAAGTTTCTGGCAAGGGTAAGGTCTGCCTTTTGAAAAAAGGCATTTCATCGTGCAGCAGTGAAGTAGGACAAACTGATGCCCAGTTCACTAGAGATTCCTCTACATGTCAACTGGCTGCTGTCTGTACAAACTGACCTTCCAGCCATTTTTCCCCAGTGGGGAAAATGGGCAGAGGTCTCCAAATCTCCAACAAGTCAGACTGTCAAGCTATTAGAGAACTTTACTACATACCTAACTTCTGGCAACAGCAAGTGTTTCTCCATTCAGATTATAGAATCCCAGGCTGGTTTGGGTTGGAAAGGACCTTAAGATCACCCAGTTCCAACCCCCTGCCATGGGCAGGGACACGTCACACTAGACCATGTCCAACCTACCCCTGAACACTACCAGGGATAGTAGTGAATTCACCCCTTCCAACAGCAGCAGGAGCATCAGTAGGAGATCAGCAATATTTTTTTCCAGGGTTTCTGTAGTTTTGTTGCTTTCCTGAGATCCTGACAAGGTAAACTGGTCTGTTGAATGATTTGCAACATGCTACCAGTTTTTACTACGGATGTCTGTAGTTGCCGCAGAACTGGTTTGAACTTTGATAGCTTTTCAAATGCCTCACAAAACATATGTTTTATAAACTGTGGCCACTGGTTGTTTTTTAAATTACTATTTTGTAGAGAAAAAATGCCACCAGATTAACATCCTGCAAACAAACTCGATGTGTTTTGATTGGTCTTATTTAGGAGTTCAAAAAAGAACAAATGGCTTTGTGTTTTCCTAGAAGAAATAACAATAAGTGATGGTAACTCAACTTAAGTGTACTTAAGCGTACTTAAGCCTTTGTGTCCACAATATACTCATTCCTCTCATGGCTCAGACCAGCAGTTCTAAGCTAGGTTAACACCTTTTAACACCTTCAGCTATGCCCTGTGACCAAAGAAAGAAATCTGATAGTCATTGCATAGTCTATTATGAAAGTACTAATGACAACACTACAAAAGAAGACCATAGCAACTGATGGGAGCTATATGCTTGCCTCATGAAAAGCAAAGCCAACGTAGTAGGCAGGCTTACCAGAGAAATCTTAGGGGGTTTTTAGTTTTTTGCTAAAAGCAAAACAAGGATAGACTTACCTTGTCTGCTGTGAACGCTTTTCTCCCTAGCATAGGTATAACACATGGCATTCCCAGAAGCCTGTCTTTTTGCTTGCTTAGAGATGACAATTTACAGGTGACATGAGTTGTTTCACTGTGTAAGAGCATATATGAATTTTGTATTAACAGACATCTTCTTATTTAGTTCTTATAGTACACAAAAATGAGTATTTTATTGTTCATCTTATTAAAATAATAATATTACAGCCTTTTAATATATTAAAATCATTTTCTAAGAGAGGCCACTGTCTTCTTCAGGTCTTTACAGTGCTCCGTGTAGCAGACCACAACTATAACTTGAGTTTTATAACAGCCATCAACACCAACAGACACAGGTAATTAACTTGAATATTTTAAGATAAGCAAGGAAATACTGCTGGAGAAACATTGTTTTATGGTGCTTTACCTTGCATAAATAATTGCTGTGAGATAACATAGTGCTTGGGCTGGAAAAGAAGTAGAAGCCTCCAAAGCACTAACCAGTACATCTTTTGTACTATAACTTCCAGCAAATAGGGCAAAAGAACAAAAACTTTACTATGTTTTCTGTGGGGAAGCTCAAGAAAATCTCTTCTCTACCTTGTCACAGAGCTGACTTTTACCAAGGACCTATACACTGCATAGAAGAGCTCTGATTTCCACTTATAAGTGTCAGATGTGGCTGTAGCCCCCAGCTGTTTTTATCAGATGATGGATACAGGCTATCTCCAGCCTTGGTTGTTGGCTCAAGAACTGAAGCTTAGATAATATGAATGACTTGTAGGACATCCTTATGCCCTTGCTAAACTACTAGGCTGATAGCAAGCTAGTCATCTGTCTTGGACTGTTTTGAGCCTATTTTACCACTTCAGAAACAGCTACCTTTACAATCAGCCACAGTTATTACCTTCTTGGCAAGGCAAAATGAATAGGAGGAATTAATTCCTACCCAAGGTCCTTGCAAAATATGGGCAAGGCGTTAATTCACTGCCACTCGAGCCTAAGGTAGCAATTGTCAATAGCACAAACAGGCTGCATCATCATTTTCGCTCTAATTTAATCAAGGTCATATTAGATCGCTACAGCAAATCAAGCAGAGTCAATCTGATAAAAGATAAATCTGAGCTAAACCAGTTTCCTTCTGGAAATTAACCCTTTTATCACAAACATTACCCATCGATGCAGACCATCTTATTGCCACTGAAAATGACTACTGATATATATAGCACTATGCTTTAATAAAATAAACCCTCTCCCAGCAAATAAACCAAGATTACATTATCTAATCTCATGCCTGAATTTGTAGATTTTGATCAGATTCAAAACTTGATTTCTTGCTTTTATTTATATTGCCTCCAAAACTATTACTTCTACCTCTCTCTTTACCTACCACTAGCCACCACATACCAGTTGCCCTTATGATACCTTTCCTAGACAAGTGTCTTGCACACACAATGCTATCATTTCTCTGGTCCATCTATCATTGCACACAGTATTATAGAATCAACCAGGTTGTAGAAGACCTTTAAGTCTCACACAGAAAACCAACCCCTTTCATGGAACCCTGAAGCGTATGTCTCACCAAAAACGTGCTGTATTATGCTGGGCGCGATTTCTCACATGCAAGGTTAAGGTCTTAAGTAAAAATAACAAAACAAAACCAACCAACCAAAAACAATAACCGAAAAAAGGTTAAAAGTCTTCATGTTTTCTTGCTGGTGTTTGGTTTGGAGGGGGGTGCTTGTTTGTTTGAGGAATATATTCAGCCAAGTTCCTTCTGCAAATCTGGACCAGTTATCCCGTTTGTCATTGTAGCACCTACACGTTGCAAGTTTTTACTTTAACTGCATCATAAGCTATTGTTACAGAAACTTTCGGGTAAGCTGCATCACACCTTCCTGCAGAATGCCTGCACTTAGGTGGAGTACAGCCACCACAGCAGGGGAGGAAAGTGCGATCTCCACCTGGCTGGGATGCATGGAGATGTGGAGAGAAGGGGACAGATATAGCCCTTTTAGCCCACACAGCAAACTCCTGCTTCAAACATTCCCAAAACTTGAAGGATCCCTCCCCCGTGCCTCATTGCACCTACATCCAGAGCTTCTATAGCCAAAACAGGGCTCTTTTTTTTTAGGCTTGTCAAATACTGACGATGAGATCATAGGTGGATGCAGACTTGTCATTTCACACCTATTGCAGAGGGAACCTACATCACCGTCACTGGATAGAAAAGCATTTAAAAGGCCTTTTTGTTTTTTATGCTTTCTCAATCACAGAGAAATTAGTCCTCACCCTATAAAACTACTGTAAATACCAAAGTCAATGGAGCTATGACAATTAAGATTGACTAAGGAGCTCCCCCCTACACACGCACAGCCAGACCTGCAGTTGAACCACGTTGTAACAGACTGGCTGGCCCATCTGTTTGTTACGCTTGTTTGTTATTTTCCCATCATATACTTAAACTGTCATCTCTGGGTTTGGGTTCTGTGCTTTGCAAGTACATGCCAGCCATTTAAAGATGATGAGCTCCCCCCATTAAAGCCATGGTAACACAATTTCCCTTGGAGCTGATTTTGCACTGCTTGAGTAATGTGACACTGAGCAAGTACTACTTGCTGCAGATGTAGGTTGTGATCTTGCGAGGGACAAGCCTTGGTATCAGCAGGATTTATGTGGAAGGATGCAGGCTGTGGCAGGGAGACGGAGCTGGCTTTGCTGCTTCTAGTGAGACTGTTTTTCCTATTAAGTCTCTACCTCCATCTCCTACTGCTTCCACAGAACAAAACGAAGAGGGGACTAGTAGATGAGAAATATTTACGACTAGCTGGAACCTCAAAGTGTTTTGGAATAGAAGTAATATACTTGCAAAAAAAAGTAATGTAAGTTCTATAAAAAAACTGAAATTTTTTGGTAAACTATGTCATAGGGTGTTGATTTTTTATTTCCCTTTAAGGTTGAAAAAAAGCACTCAAACCCCAAAATGCATAGAACCCCTTTGGCCAAAACATACTCAGTTGGAAGAGCACACGGTTTGCCATTTAAAATTCCTCCAACTTCACTTATTTATGTAATTTTGGGCTCTATCTGCAGATTGTGATTTTCAGTTTCAAAATCAGTTATTTTTCCTACCAACTATAAGATGTTGTATTTTACCACCCACATATTGTAATGAACCACAAGTTGAAGACTTGAGAATCTGTATAGTGATGAATTTGTCATTCCCTTCTGCCCGTGGTTGAAGGGATTTATTCTCTTTATTAATTTTTTTCAAAGCCTATCTAACATTGCAGAAAGTCTGGCTGGGTGTTTGATGATAATTAGCTAGAAAATTAGCCTGCTAGAAATGTTACTCATCAAAATACCATTGAGTCCTAGGCAGATTGCAAACCTCTGGTGGAAAGTGTCCCAGAGACAGACAACTTGGTTGCATCAGGTTTAAATTGCATCAAGTATTGATTAATGTCTCTCTCAATTAACTATTGCCAACTTTAAAGGTAAACCAGACTGTTCATATGCCTGTCATTTTAAGAGATCATTTAGGGACAGATTCTCAATTATGTTAGGGTTCAGTTGTACTAGTCCATAGGAGCCCAGAGACTCTGCTGAGGTAATGGTTGCTGAGCATTCTACCACTAACACAGTGCCCATCAGCTGTGCCTTGTCTCCTCCATAGCAGCAAAGGAGCATTCATCATAGGAGCCTTCCAGTGTCTGAAGGAGGCTACAGGGGTGCTGGAGGGGGACTCTTCATCAGGGAATGTAGCAGTAGGACAAGGAGTGATGGGTTCACACTGAAACAGGGGAAGTTCAGATTAGATCTAAGGCAGAAGCTCTTCCCTGTGAGGGTGCTGAGGTACTGGCACAGGGTGCCCAGAGAAACTGTGGCTGCCCTGTCCCTGGCAGTGTTCAAGGCCAGGTTGGACACAGGGGCTTGGAGCAACCTGCTCTAGTGTGAGGTGTCCCTGCCCATGTCAGGGGCTATGAACTGAATGATCTTAAGGTTCTTTCCAACCCAAACCAGTCTGGGATTCTATGAGGCAAAGTAGGATACTTATACACAAGCTCAGCATCAGGGAAATGAAGATTAAAGCTCCTTATACTTCTTCTTTCAGGACAGCAGCATGTGCTTTGCATTCTTCAGTTTAAATATATCTATTTAAAAAGTATCCAGTTTATCAAAAAAATCTATGTCTGCCAACATCATTATGTGGTGTTCTGTTTACTGAAGGTCATTCATTATTTGTGATAATCTGTTGTTTGCAAAACACACTGCATGTGCATAAATCAAGGCATTCATTGGTGACACTTTGAGGGGTTCATTTTGCCCAGTCACCTACAGTTAGCTTCAGCAAAGCTTTGTGTCTCCCAGTGATGAAGTCTTTAGGCACCCCAAACAAAGGGACAAGCAATTTCTTCTCCAATGGGAAAGCTGCTGCATATGGCATGAGCCCACAAGGGTTCCCCTTTGCATTAAGATTTGAGCCATCCTTTGGATCACTCTAGATAGCCTTTGACTAAACAAGCTGTCAGGTCCCACCAACTTCAAGGAATGTTTAAAAGGATGTGGTGTATGAAAGGAGTTCAAAACATCATCAAGTGCTATATCACAAATGGTTCCTGTTAAGTAACTACTGAAACAGAAGGAAGAGTGCATCTCTCAACTTCAGAGCAACTACAGTGAATGGAGTTTTACAACCCAAAGTACAGTTTTAGCCTACAAGTTCAATAAAAGTAAGAGCAACACAGGCCCCTTACAACCCTTGCCCACAAAGCCTGTGCACCAAGGACTGAGATCAGCAAGCCCAAGGTGCAGACAGAAGCCTGCTCATGGAGCAGAGGGAGCTGTACACACAGAGTTTCCCAAAAGGAGACCTTTAAACCTGCTGCAAAGTCATAAATAGACGCTGGACCCATTTCTGTTACTGATAACTTCCCTGAAGACAGAATCAATTCAGTTTGTTTCCTTGTTTTGGTCATATAGAACAGCAAGTGTAATTTCATCCCAACATGTACCTGAAGTTCATTGTATCTGAACTTCAAGGATGTGTATTTCTTCCATAAAACAGTGATACCAAATAGAAATGTGAAGAAAAGTACTTAAAATCCAAGTCTGGGCCAAGTTTTACTATTAGAACATCTTGATTCCTATTTGAGAAGCTGAGGCATCTGAAGTTCCTGCAATACAGAAATTACTTCTGTTATCAATTTGCAAATTTGCACTCCACAGGAGGGTTGGGGGGGGGGGGTGGGTGGGTTTTTTTCTTTGCACCTTTATGATTTTATAAATGAATTAAACCTGCTGTTCAGAGCACAGATATCCTAAATCAAAGTATTTAGTCACAGGATACATCAGCACATTAAACCATTGCATCTACTTGTGCTCTTCATACCTCCCCAGCTAACCGAACCGTAGGATGTTTTGCAAAGAGAGAAGTGTGGGAGACCGTATAAATAACCAGAGCGTGTCTTATGCTTTTCTTCTCAACTCTCTTCCAACTCTTTGCTACAGGCTGTCACGCCTCCTCTTTCTCTTTCCACTCTGCTTTTACTATCTCGGAAAGTTAGTCAGACCTGTTTTGAAGTGCCACAAACACACTGCTGGGGCTGCACGTGCTGCTTTGGTCTGAGCTGCTGCCTGCAATACTCCTCTCCCCTTGTTTTGTTACCCTTTCCCCTTGTCTCTCTTCTGCCACCTGTTCTTCACCCTCTCTTCTCACTTGCCCTTTTTACCATGTGGAGCTTTTGCTTTTAACTCTGTCACAGCATCAGGAGCCTCTTTTTTTCCTTATTCCTCTGTGATGAATAGTTTACATTTGAGTATAAACTCAATCAATTTTTGTTCATTTTTAAGCAGACTGTGGCTGCTTTTGTAGCACTTATTTGAGTAAATAATGGGTCTGCAGAACACAAAACCGGCTTTGAAACCAAAGTCAATCTTAAGATGCTAAGGAGAAGAGTGACCTTCTGTCTGATTGATCCTGAGTCTTAGGGGATGGTCTACATCTGCTATGAGTTGGAACTATCCTCCTGCTTGGAGGAAAGCCAGAGCACTGGAAAAGAGGAGTTTAAAAAAAAGGGAAAAATCATAACCAGACAGCCTTTTGATAAAGATGCTTTGAAATGAATGAAGTGAATTAATGAAATCATTCAAACAGCAATGCGGGATGCATTGTGGTCCTTTCCACCCAGTTTTCTCTTAGGTGGTTTCGCGGTTTCCAGGTAAATATGGGAAAAGGGAAATATTTTTAATAGGGGAAATATATTTCCTTTCCCCATCTCTGTGGGTGAGCATTAAGAAGTATTTCTTCCAAATCACATTATGTTGCATTTTTATCTCACATTAGCCAGGGTGCTGCATCAGGGTGTGAAGATAACATGGTGTAACACACCATGAACTTCTTTTGCTCCATAAGGAATTACAGTATATGCTAAACTGTTGTTTAAAACATAGGAATTTGAGCATCTATAGGACTTGTGATTGGGATGCCTTAAGGTGGTTCTTATTATTACATGTTCTGAAAAGAATGAACTAATCCTTTATTAAAAGAAGGATTAAGAAGAAAGCTGAAATGATTAGAATATAAAGTTAAGCATCCAGCAACTCAGAAGTCAAAAGTCAGCCTGTCTCTAGCAAAATCAGTGCAAATCAATACTGATTAAGAATTTGGCCCAATATTGACAGGCAAAACCAGCAAATAAAGCCAAAAGGCAGATTCATCAAAGGTACTTGCAGATACAAATAATAATCTTCATAAAGTTAAAAAGGAGAATGACTGTAACAAATGGGCATAGACACACAGGGATACTGTTCGGTACGAAAAAGGAGCGGGTGACTTCTTTCTAGTTCCTCAAAAGATATAACGGTGCAAGGACTAGTGAGGTGAGAAGGGAAATATTTATTTCTTATGACCTTTATGTTACATGCACCATAGAGATCATGCATTCTCATGCATCATTACTATGCTCTGATCGAAGGCACCATGAAAGTTGAAAGAAGTTAAATCCCAGCCTCCTTAAAACAGTTGCAAAACTCACCTCTAGAATTAAGGTCCTTAAATCAGTAAGATTCCAGCAGAAACTAAAGAACTGATTAAGGGGATCCGAACATCGTAGCACAGATCCATTATTCCTTCTAGTAACTTCTCACAGTGTAAAAAGCCTTTGACTCAGCAAAGAATTCTTCTTGCTCCCATTGAGCTCTGTAAGCCTTTTGCCCCTGCTAGACACTAACTGATTTCATTGAGAACAGGGGATCTTAAATTAAGCAAATTTAACTCCAATTCATGTCCATCTATGGCAAAAGCTTAAAGAAGCAGCAACTGTTTCAGAAGGCAGATTTGCTCCAACCTCACCCTCCCCTGGGGTGGAGTGGATGATACAGCATGCGATGGAACTTCAGCTTTTGCCTTTTTGGGGGTAATTTTAGGGTTATGCAGGAGGGTAAGACCCTCTGTGCTTTCCTGTTTCAGTGTGTCCTTTGATCTAAGGGACCTTGGTTCAGAGGCTTGCAGGCAACACAGAGCTTTCATGCAACAAGCATGCAGTAAAGCAGCTGCGCATCCCTGACTCATCACCTTTAAAGCAAGTGTAGGCAGCATGAGGATAGATCCAGGTGACTGTGGGAGTCGCCACCACTGTGAGCCAAGTGAATGCTCTACAGCTGTTCTTTATGTGTTTTTCCCCAGTTCTGCCCCCAGAACCCAGTGGAATAACGTGGACTACAGTATCCCTCTGTGGTTGTACAGGGAGGTAGCACCCATTGGTTCTTCCTGCATTGTCTTATGAACTTCATAGTCATTCATTGAATTAGATTATATGACAGGATCCATCATCATTTACTTCCCATTTGTGGAATTTCTGTGTTTCAACTCTACAAATAACATCTAAGAGCCCCTGTTTGTCATCTTTCTAATAGAATAAAGAAGAACTAAGTGTGAGAAGTTTTTAAGAACAGCACAAGTGGTTCGTTTCATGCAACATAGCAGCAATTATTTTACCAGCTGCTTCTTTCTCTCATAGATTTGGCCATAGTTGCTCTTGTATAACCTCTACACCATGATACCTGAAGCATCCACTTTTCTTTACTTTTGCTGCTTTCACTGTGTAATAAAAACATGATCACTAAAAATTCCATATGTAGACTGGGAAGACAGCCTTAGAAGTGTTGCTTTTTGGAGTGCATTTCATGTTTAGATACTGCATAACATGGTCTTTCATGGTCTTCAAGTCCGTGGGATTTCAGAACCACTCTGCCTCCCCTTCCATGTGCCTGTCCTCCGAAGGATTGCCATGTGGCAGGCAATTGAGAAAGCCTTAGTAAATAATTAGGAATGGCCCCTTGTGCCAGCACTTTTCCTGTATTTTATTTCTTCATTTAAAGAGTATTACAGATACATGACCAAAAAATGACACTGTTCATCTGGTATCTTTGGCATAAACAGAAAACGTGAATTAAGGCTTTCTAATAAATGCCATAAAATGGATTTCTTGAGCAGAATAATGTGTTATCTATGGGTAATTTCCCATTAAAATAGAGACTATAATTCTGATTAGACATGGATATTATCTTTTCCAGTATGTTTCTGTCAATGCACTGATTCAGCAACCATTTAGACCCCAAGGTCAGGGCTGTTCATAAGTCCCATTGATTTCAAAGTTGAATGTCTGCCCAAGATTAAACACAAAGAAGAATGCTTTCCTAAAGCAATTTATTTAACTCTGTATGTAAGTGCTCTGTTGAATCAGGGCCGAAAGGCTTAGCAACAACTCATGAAAGATAATAAGTGTGGGCCAAATATGTGTATTAGTAGCCAAAATGCATATAATGAGACAAGGAACATCATCGTTACTTGGATTTGAACCAAGATCCCCAAATGTATAAGCTAACCAGATCTTTAAATTGAATTTCTTTTGGAGCTTTGATCTTAAATCTAAATGGTGAGACAGGTTTCATGTACCTGTACATATCGGGGTGGCCCTTGGTTGTCTTCTGCCCTACATCTAGATCTGCTTCCCAGAGAAGGCACAATGCTAGCAGCAGAGACAGTGGCTGGCTGAGTTTATCTTGTAAGGATGGTACTGATGAGATGATACCTGAATCCAGAGTTGGGGAGGGCTCTGGACCCCACAAGCTCAGGGCTGAAACTCTTTTGTTCTGTGCAGTGTCTTCAAAAAGAAGTTTATTTTGAGTTTCTGTATAAAGGAAGTAGAAAGTCATCTTAACAAACACAGGAGATGATGAATCTGACAGAGTACAATGCAGATCAAAATGGTTTTAATCATTACCCCCTGCTTTAATTACTACTTGACACATTATCTGTATTGTCCTTCTACAAGTCTCTCTTTTTGAGTGAAATATTAAAGGCGAGTCACAGCTGAATATATATGCAGTCTAGGAAGAAAATGGCTTTGAACTATTTGAAATGATTTATTGTCCGCACTTCTTTATGAATATTTATTCGCCATCGTGAAAGCAATTCAATAAAGAGAAAACATGAGGACCAGTTAACGGAACATTTGCATACTCTAACAGCTCAAAAAAAAGGGAAAGGAAAATAATCTGGTGCATTAGAATGGTGTTAATGCCGTGGTTCTCCACTTTCCTGTCGTTAGTTCCAAATATTGCATGTATGAGAGCAAAAAGCTAAGGCCAAGGCTCTTAGGAATTCAGATCCTGAGAGGAGATATATAAATAGCCTGCAAGTAAGTGTCCCTAACCTTTATATATTCCCATTCAGAAGGACATAAATGTGTTTATGTGGGCATTTTCAAGGCCGGCGTGGAAACTCTGGTTTTGTTTCCATACTACTTCAGGTAGCTGGCTATGAAAGCTTGCTTTTAGCAACAGGCATACATAATCCAAGTCCTCATCTTGTCAGGGCCAGAGATCACTCGTTCCTGATGCTCCCCAAAGAAGTGTGGCTATCAAAAGGAGACAGGAACACACTGAGTATGTAAGCACGGCTGCATGCACCGAGACCACACACAGAGCAGAAATGCTTTCCTGCACTCCTCAGTGGGGGAACACACTTTTTCATGGTACGTGCCCTCATTTCACCCTGCTTGAATTCATTTCATCGACCAGAAAGCACTATGCGTTAGACTTGGAATGAACTTTGTTCCTCAGAGCTTCTTAGCGCTATTCTGATACCCACTCACAGATGGGGCCTTGACAGATTTTCTACTGATTTTCATGATTCCTTTTTTCTTGATAGCTTTTTTTTTTTTTTAAGCAGGATTGTTGCTGCTTGAGAATTCAAATGCAAATGGAGATGTTCACAGGCACTGTTTTGTAAGGGAGCTCAGCTGGTTGGGGTTTAGAGCTCATAAACTGCATCGTGTATCTCATGCAGTATGTGGGAAATAGTCAACTTGATATATAATAGTTCTAGAGGAGGATGGTTACAGGAATAAAACACAGACTTTGGACAAATGTATAAATTCTCTAGGCCTCAATTTTCACTTCTTTGGAGCAAGAATGATAATAATAATAATATGTATTTATAGTAATAATTATCATTATTATCTACCTGAAAGCTAGCTGTGAGGCTAATTCATTAATACTTTCAAATTACTTCATGATCCTCAACTAGAATTTGCCCTGAAAGTACTAAATATTATAATTTGCACTGTATGCCTATTTCATTCTGCTCTGGAGAGAAACACATTTAATGTGTTGCTCTCTTTACATTTGTCTACATACCACATTCTACAATTCGAGCTGCTGAGCTCTTCTAGAGGTTAGTAACAGGCACATTTTACATTAGCTTATTTTATGCTTATTTGTCCCTCTTTTGTCATATCATTTTCCCCCCACCTAGGAATTATGGTACCTGATTTGGGGGAGTTTTTACTGCTTGTACACATACTGACATCGAGACCTACACTTGCTCTTTATTTCCGTGCCTGAATTTGGAGTTGCCAATGGAACCACACGTTGGTTCTCGGAGGTCAGAGCTCTCTTGATGTATGTTTTAAACATATTGTGAGTAGAATCGTAGAATCACAGACTGGTTGGAAAGGACCTTAAGATCATCTAGTTCCAACCCCAGGGAGCTTCTCTAAGTTACACATAGACACTGCCACATATTACATGCCTGATTATATTTGTAGGTATCTCAAAAGCCTGTCTTGTGGCAGTTTACCATGTCCTCCATTTACTAGCGAAAGTGTATCAGTTGTTCACAACTGAAGACACCCAGATCCATTTCCTCTGGTTGTTATTTGTTGGATAGCTAGACTCTAATGGTTGAAATCTGTATCTACCAACATAAAAGCTGCAGGATATGACACTGCTATCTTGTGCTTCCAATCAGCCTCCTGGTATTACAGCAGTACTTTTTATTTAAGTGTATTTCTACTGTGTTCAGCCTGCTCAAGCCCTGCACGCTGTTTTACATAGCATCTGTATGTGGGGATAATTGAAAACTCAACACAGCCCAGAGGCAGATGCACAACACGACAGGAGTGGGCTGGGGCATAACTCAGAAGAATAAGACAAGCAGACAGCAGCAAGCAGGGCAAAGCCAGCCTCAGCAGCATCTTCACCAGAAGATGCCAGAAGCAGTCGCAGTGGGTCGGGGCCTGGTAGCTGGGGGTCCCGTGGGAGCAGCAGAACTCCAGATGTTTCTTCTTCTGCCATCACGGGGCCAAACATCTGGGAGCACAGAGCATAGGCAGGGTGCGAGGCTCACCTGGAAAATCACATGGACAGATCAACACCAGATTCATGACCATGCACTTCACTGACACTCCCATCCTCTGCATCCTTTGCAGGGAGGTTCCTGCTCCTAAAACATCATCTAAGCCAACATTAGCAGAAAACGGGCCAGATAGTATTTTTCTGGTGTTTCAGAAATGTAACATATATATCAATAAATGCCACTTGCTATTTGAATACTCATCATAAGAATTACTGAAATGACTGGAATAAGGCACAGTATTTCTTCCTATTAGCTTAAGTGGGAAGAAAGCAAAAGCGCCAAGAGTGTAAAAAGGAGACAAGAAGCAATAATGAGAAAACAAGTTGTGGCATGGAGAAGTATTTCTTGACTGTCCTCTTGGCTCTCTCTGTGAAGATTTAATCCAACAACCTCAGCCAAAAGTAGTTATTGGGTGTTTTGTATGTCTGGTCTGGTTGTTCCAGGCAGGAGGGGTTTCTGAGAAGCGCACAAGTAGGTCTCTACAGTGGGAATCACGAGTTTTTTCATGTGAGCAGCACACCTGAGCTGAGGAGGCTGTTTGAAGGAGTTAGATGTGGCCCTACCTTGTAGCAGCGTTCCCAGAAGTTGCTGACGTTCGGTTGTCCCCACACACTGAAGATCTATGGCTTTCCATGGGTCATTTGGCATGGTGAGGAAGGAAGATGGACTAGTCCGGGAGACTTAGGCTGTAACATTGAGATAGGTTGAAACACTCCACCAGTTAGGGCTCTCCCTTAAAGGTATGTTGTCATAAACAGATGCCTAAAACCACCCAGGGGAGCAGGTCAGAGCAGTTCCTATATCTCTGCCCTTTGCCTTGGCTCTGTTCCCCAAATTCTCTGCCCAAATACCCCAACTACAGCAGCTCTGCTCCTGCACCCTGCCCTGTTCACTCTTCTCTTACCTTTTTCTTCCTCTGTTTAAGTCTAAGGAGAGTCATCAGTAGTGAACTGATTATAGGAAACTCATTTACATCATCAGTTCCATAGTAGGACAGACTTCTTTAATTATCTAAGAGAAATACTTTTAATTAAGCAAATTTCCCACTCAGTTCACTGTGGACAATCCCATCATAATTGATATTACTTCTGTGTGCGAAGTCTTAATCTTCACCCATACTGAATGCAAAACATGAAACCATTAGAAAACAAAAATACAGCCTTGCTCTAATATTGCCATTTTAAAGCTGCCAGCTTTGATAGTCATCGGTATGATGACCACACACCCCTGGCTAATGAATTTGACTACAGATCAGGGTTTTTATCAGCTATAGATATGAGATCAAATCCATACAGGCATATTATTTGCAGGTTTTATTAAAAAGTTAAATCGGAATTATTAGAAACTCTCTTCAGATTCCTTAATAATAAAGGAAAATAAAGTTAAACTCTAATGAGATTTCCTGGAAGTGTTTTAAAAGGCTGCAGCAGCAGTAAAGTCAGCAGGCACCACGCAGCAAAAGGAAGTATTTACTGATCAGGAGATGAATGTCTCCTCCCCCAGTTTAACGGTTTTACATTTTACAGGTTTATAAGAGAGAGGGAGAAAGCAAGAAAAACTCCAAGACAACGCTTTCCTCATCTTAGACATCGTATTTCTTGTGATCAAAGCCTTCAAATCCTGGTGAAAACTGACTTTTTGCTCCCATGACCAAAACCTCACTCTTTCCCCCTCCTCCCTCCATCTGTTCAGGCTTGTGTTTGGAAGTCCCTACCACAGAGGCAGAAAGGCTGATCCCTATTGCCTCGTATGTGGTGTGGAAACCCATTAATATTCCTCTGGCAGGTACCCTGACCCCGCTGCCCTTGAACATGCTTGGGAACACAGGGTATTCCTGAGCCTTTGTCCCTGGGAGGATTAACAGGGTTGCCCTGGAGCCAGCCTGAAGGTGTTTTAATAGGTAATACGGGTGGGCTGCTCAGCTGACTTCCAGCTTTGCCTCAGGCTGCCCCTGCTCAGCAGCATAGGTGCAGGCATCGAAATGATGGGGGAAAGCTCATTTCTGCATGGTTCTGTGTATGGTTAGGGTTTGAATCCTCGGAATTTGGGGGAGGATAGCTCCAAATATCCCATCCACCCCAGTGCGGCAGCATCCCAATGGAGGAAATCCATGCTGGAGACCTGCTCTGCTTCTGCCACTCTGACCTTTAGTCAGGGATTTATGCTCTTCCCCACCCCCCTCTATTTTATTTTCCTCTCTGGTCTTTCTCATGCCTTTGAAACTTATAATTTGCCTGAAGAAGGGAGCGTGCCTGTCTGTGTGGCTTAGCACAAGGAGGTGCCAGTCTCAGCTGGGTCCTGGGGCTTTATCAGGGTGGAAGCATATAAAGAGATAATAGTAGTAACAATGGCCACCTTTTTGTATGAGCAATAGGATCCTAATGGAGGAGAAGCCTCTCCTCTGAGGTGTTCTTAGCTGCAAGTGAAGGTGTCTCTTTCCTTCTCAGCTGGGGAAGATACTGCCTTTTAAATCAGACAAAACTTGTCATGTAAAATGGAGCACATCTTTGATTATATGGAATACTATCCTGCCTGTAATTTACCTCCGCGGCTGCAAAGGACGCAACATGTTTAAGCTAAGAAATGATAAACTGAGCATTATGTGTCAGGATGGCAGAAGATATTTCCTATCTAAATAGGAAACAATCATCAAAACCCAGTGAAAATACACACGAAACTGTTTCAACATACAGTAAGGCACCCCGCTCTTGCCTTATGTTGTATTGAAGCCCTCCTTGCTCAGATTGCTGCAGACACTTGTCCTGTAGCCTACAATAAATAGTCTTTGTTTTCACAACCCCTGGAATGATTTTGTAATGATGTGAGTATCTTTCCTTCATAAGTGCCCATGTTCTGCTGCCTTCTCTGTCTTGCCAATTCTCCTGTGTTTCCCTGGGTGAGTCCACGTTCTCAAATTGTAGCTGTGTGCAGTGTATTTTCCTGGAGCTGGTAAAGCCATTGCTACTTCACTTAATGACTATGTTTTAGCAGTACCTGCTATCAGTTGTTATCGGACATACACCAGAGGGGGAAAGGGGTCATTATCCCCATTCTACAGACCAGGAAACCAAAGCGTTGCATTTAACAGCAATTTTCCCCCAGACATGCTGAAGAACGTGCAAACAGGAGAAAGACCAACATCCCTTCAGCTCACATTTCACCGCTTAGCATTTGTAACTGCTTTTTTGCCCCCTTTAATATACCACCTGCAGCATTGTGCCCTTCCGCCAGCATTGCAGAGAATGATCACAGCAGAGCCAAGTGCTTTTTGCGATCACAAATTCAGATACTGCAGCAAACAATGCGAGTAATTTTCCTAATTTTAGAGTGTGACTTTGCCATGTGTGATGTTTTGTAACTTGCATCGTGTTTCTGATGGGTTCTGGATCCGATGCCAATAACATGCTCTGCTCCCATCCAAATTAGCATACGATGAAATTTGGAGCTAGTATTCAGATGATAAGGTCTGTTTGCTGTTTCCATATAGATGTATCTTTGACAGGAAGAGCGATTCTATAATAAGCCCAGGATGAAAAACCCATCAATCGAATTGGTACCACATTACCATGGCAACAATATAATGCTAATGAAATTGTGACTGTTGAACCTTGTTTATGGAACTCGACAAAATGAGCTTCATAAAACAAGAAATCATGTCGCTTAGTAAATGTTTCAAAGCATGATAAAACCCTTACAATCACGTGTGCTGTGACTTATTAACCACATTATCATCCTCAGTTAACATAATGCATTGCTGTTCGTAATAAGCATTTATTTCCTCGAAGAAATAACATTATATAGGGAAATCTGTGCTTCTCCAGGTTTCAATGTGCACCACAAAGTCTCACTCACCTCCACGCCCCAGTTCACTGGGTCTGATGGCATGGGGGGCATATCTAGTCACGCAGTTGTTATGCTTGTTTAGTCCCTCAAAATCTATAAACCACACTGCTACTGTAGCTGCAGAAAACACCATTTCTGTAAGACAAACGTTGCTCAATTTATATCAAAATATTCCACTAAAACATGTCCTTTCAGATGAAACCCTACACAGAGGGTGTCTGGTAGCAGTAATGTGCTCTTGGCTTCCCCCCTTCTTTCTTCCTTCCCCTTTGGCAGTTTACTGCTATATAGGGCCCAGATGCAGAGGCAGGCAGTCACCCTCCCAGAAGGATGGCTCTCATTCCTCAGCACAGTGGACCTTGCTCAAGGCAAGGTTTGATGTTATGTCCTGCTTTTAAACAAGAAAATGCTGAGCATCCTGATTTCCCAGTATCTTGAGAGCCAGCAGGCTCACCGGTTTGGGTCCTTAAGATCATTCAGTTCCCAGCCCCTGCCATGGGCAGGGACACCTCACACTAGACCATGTTGCCTAAGGCCCTGTCCAACCTGGCTCCTGGGGAGTTGCCTCACCTCTAAGCACCTCCAGTGTTGAGTTTTGCACAGCACCATCTTATTTTTAGCTAATGGATAGTTTTTCCTCATTGTTTTCACCTCGGAAATAAAATGTAGTACACCTAATGAGTCCATCTCCTAATTTGCCAGGTAAATCAGAACACAGGAGCAGGTGAACGGGCAAGCAATGAGCTCAGTGAGACAAGGGGGCTGGGAATACGTGATCTATGAGTTTTTTTCTTTAGCAGGCTAATAATATTGTCAAATAGTCACCACAGTAGTATTACCTAGATATTTAGCACAGGGAATAGGAGAGAACACTGCTCATTTTAGTGACGTCCTGACTACATGGAACAGAAGTCAGTGTGAATCTTTACCACATTATATTTAATGGGCTTTAAATCAGGGCTTTTAAAGGCTGGTTTTGAAAGCTCCATGTTTCATCCTATTTGGAAAAGGAAGCCCTGTCTAACATTCCGTTATACCCACCGTTTGTGAGAAAGCAACGCACTGAATTTCTGCATTGATAGAAATATAATGCAATGTAATTCCACTTAATATATATTTTGCATTGGCTGACAGCTTTATTAAGCAGAACCAATAATCATCATTATCCAGTGTAATAACCATCTCATTAGAAATGGTTTAATTTCCCCTAATTTTAATTTACCTCTTGGACTGAGCTGATCTGAAATTCCTGAAGTGCCTCCGGTTCAGTTTTGAAAGAATTAAAAGGAAACAAAAGTCTTCAGAAAGCTCCTGCTGACTGATTGCTGCTCGAAGAGCGGCACAATAGAGCTTTGTATCTGGTGTATCTCTGGTGTGTTTGTACCAGACAGAAGGAAGTCCACAACATTCAGGTAAGGAATTACTACATCACTTTTTTTTCCTTACTGGCTTTGAAGTAACACTTTCTGCACCCATTTTGCACAGTGATAAATTGTGTGGTTGACTGCAAGCCTTGCATGCACTCCCCTTTAATAAAGGACCTGGCTAAGGATCGCGCCAAAGAGAAAGAGTGCTCGTGGGGAGGAGCTGACAAGCAGAAACAGTTCTTAGAGGGATGAAGAAGGAGATGAAGACACCCATCAAGTTTCATTATCCTCCAACGAAAATAGGATGTAAACTGTGACATCCTGGCAGATTACATATGTCAGGCAAGCAGATGTGAGCAGAAAAATGTAGATGCTAAATCTCACCTAATAGGCTTACTCTGTGGATTATTCACAATGACCAAGGCTGTGTTAACTGTAGTAGGATATAAGAAATAAGTGAATCTGGGGACATTTCC